TATCACTGATTACGAGTTTGAAGGGGATACTGAGAGTGTGTCGGATGTTTCCGGCGAAGTAATTATTTTTCATTTTTAATTAGAACTTAATTCTTCCGAATCCGCCATAAATAAATTAGGAAGTCGCAAACCGGTTTCCGCTTTGAGCGTAAGGTTCCGTACTAACGGTACAAATCTCTAGGGGAGGTGCGAATCGAGGGAAGAGCGTGACGGTATAGCCAGCGAGACCTTATTCATCCCCTCCCCCCCCTTACCACCCAGCTCCAATTAACATAAGACGTTAATTCACTCTGGCGATGAGGTAGAAATGGGATGAGTTCGATACTCTCCGAGAACGGGGTCGCTTTACTTCGAATCCTCCTGGGGGTCCAAGTATCCGGCTATAATTTCTACTTAAACTGTTGCTTTTCCGACCAGGACCACCACATCAATTACCAGCTGCCAATAGCTGAGACCGCAGCAGGCAAAATGGCATTTAAAGCCAAAAAGATTGATCAAACCCACGATCTAATTCATAAAAATAGCCACTAAAATCTTCTTCGGTAGAAATCTAAATAACGACGCGTGCCTCAAGGTTCCGTACATGGCCCCATTCCTGTTCTTGCCATGCGTCAACGATTTTTTAAAAGTTAAACTTGCTTGTTACAGAAATAACTTCTAAGACAAGCTACAAGCTGCAGTCATTAATAAATTGATAGGGCTATCAGAACTAAGCCGCGGGACATAGACGTACGCATTATTTATTGAAAAGAAACAAATTAAATTGTCAACACTACGCCAACATAACCACCAAAGCATAGGAATTAATTACGCAACATCCGCTCGATAACAAAGACAACAGTATACTAACGTAATGTGAACAGGAGAAGCAAGGTAAGCTAACCTGTCCACCAAGGGGGGTGGTTTTCCGCGAAACATTTTTGTACACCATTTCTAAAGCATATAGGTTATACAAAAAAAAATTGACCTCGACCTAATGCCGTACAAAAATAGCAATACCGGAAGCCAGGAAAATTTTTGATTTTCCGAAAATTTTGGCCCGGGTTTTGGTGATTTATTACAGTATGACATTTATACTGCAAGTTTCGGATGATACATAGATAAATTTTTAAGCGACGCCGTACGTACTTGCTGATACAGGGGTTAGGAATACAGGGTGCAACCCTCTATTTGTAAGTAGGGTAAGGGGGGTAATTTGAATCAACATCAAATTCACAAATTTTAATTCTATTTTATAAAATAATGACATTTTTGGCCATGCCGTACATTTTCCATGAAATATGTGCTTACTATAGGAAAATTAATTTCCCTCTGAAAAGTAGGATTTCACGGTGAAAAATTTTTATACGTCATTAATATATTTTGTTAATACTGACAACAATAATCAACAAAAAGAATATGCCGTACAAAAAAATAGTTCTAAATGGCTTGAAATATATTTTTGCAAATAAGTATTACTTGCAAGATTTGATTTTATTTTTACTACTATTTTCTCCTTAATACAAATTATTTTCTACTGTACGGCATTTCCATAATATATACAATATCATATAGAAACATTTTTCAGTAATGCCGTACATATTTGTCGATACAGGAGTGAAAAACCCCGGATGCAAACCCCTATATTCTGATCTTTATGGTTTCCGATCTTTGAAAAATGGTGGGCATTGTTGCTAAAACATTATTTAAGATGTAAAATAATTTTTAAGTAACATGCCGTTAAAAAACCATAGGACGATATAAAATTTATTAATTTTATAAATTAGAAAAGCTTATGTATTAATTTTTTTTCACAAGTACATAATTTTTTTCAAAATCCAAAAAAGTATTAAAGAATCATTAAAAAAGCTGCATTCGAATATTTTTTAAAAAATTTTAAGTTATTTTTATTTTAAAATTAAAATTACCGCTTCTAGCTGGCCATCGAAACATCTTCTTTCTCTGTCTCTTTTTTCTTTTCGGCGTGTAATTTTTATGTGGTTTTATTCATGTTTATAACCGACAATCTTAAAGTTGTTTTCGTAAAAAATGCACTTTTAAATTATTTTTACTAATTTTAAACATATATTATATGCCAGTGGCTTCATCACAATTTTTGCATAAATAAATTGTTCAAACAATTGTAACAGAAGTTGCAAGTATGCAGATACGACGGTACTCTTACTTCAAAGCACATATTATATCACTGTTTTAAATGTAAGTATTTATAAAGGAATTCTAATGAATTGTTTATTATTATATTTATTTAAAAATAATACTTTCTTGCAGATCATTAAATTTCTACATTTCTCAAAATATTTTCGCGTTTCTCTATACACAATTTTAAACAATGCCATCATAATTTCTACGGTATAAATTAAATTTCTCTTGAAATTAGGATAAAACTCATTTTGGAGTTATACAATTTCGGAGAATGGTTCCAACAAATATGTACGGCATTGCAATTTTCATTCTTTATGTTATATTTCTGTTGAAAATTTGTAAATGCCGTATAGTTATTAATGATCTAAAAATGTAGTAATATTTAATGAAAAATATTATCAGCTATGTAAAATCTACTAGTTAAAAATGTACGTCATTGGTTTATTTTATTTTTTTACTTATGAAAAGTCAATTACAGCCACAATATTTTGAATATAACATTTTTAGCCTATAACAAGGAATTTTCAAAATATTGTAAACTTTCACAATAGATTTATTTTTTAATTCGAATTTTTAATTAGTACCAATAATTATAACCGGCTATGATATAGTACGATCGTTTTTGGTTATATTTTATCAAAAAAGTGGTTGTTGTACAGGAATTAATGATCTTATCGAAAGAAAAATAAAACTCAATTCCAAAATACAAGTAATTGTTTATAAACTTTTGCATTAACCATAATTTTCAGACATAGTTGCTAAGAATTACTTGGAGAGTTAAATAAGCAGGTGGAATCGATCCCGTACATTTTTCAATGACTTGAAACAATGGGGGCTGTATTAGAGGGTTGCCCACTGCATTTCTAACCCCTGTATCAGCAGATACGTACGGCGTCACTAAAAAAGTTATCTACGTATCAATCCGTAGCTTGCAGTATAAATGCCGTACGTAAATCACCAAAAACCGGGCCAAAATTTTCAGAAAATCAAAAATTTTCCTGGCTTCCGGTATTGCCACTTTTGTACGGCATTAGGTCAAGGTTATTTTTTTTTGTATAACCTATATACTTTAGAAATACCGTACCAAAATGTTTTGCCGAAAACCACCCGCCCTTAGTGGACATGTTTAGCTTACCTGTGTACTCACCTGTACCAACAAGAATTGACGGCATAGTTTCTAAAGTTATTGTTATATGTGGTAGTATTGATTTATAAGTAATTCATGCTGGGTCAAATGACCCCTTGAAAATTTCCGATGGGCTTGTAGTCTATAATAAACAGTAACGAAAATATACGTACCTAATATAGTAAAGCCACTAACTGTTGTTACAAACAAAAAAATGTCCTATTTTTATTTCCAATAGCTATAGCATTATTTTTACGAAGATTGCATTTTTATTACAAGCTTTTAGTATGGGTCAAATATTGTAACTGAATTTTAAAACAGTAGTCCCCAACCGATTGAGCTGAAATTTTGCATACACGTTTAGTTTGGATGACAATGCGTGGTTAGCTAAGTGACGTCATTCTAAATCCAATATGGCGGACTCGCAAAGATGGCAGACCAGTTATTTTTTATGCACCCTTATGATATGGGTATCAAATGAAAGGGTTTGCTGAAAAAAATACGAAAATAAAATGAAGTCACTAAAAGCTTGTTTAATTTTTTTGTATATACTTACATGAATTTATTATGTGATGTTTTTGGTAATTAAATCAATGAATATCAGAATATTAACATATATTATGATATACAGGGTAATTCAGTCATAATGCCGATAATTTTAAGGGAAGGTAGGGAAAAATGAGTAGAATACAAATACGCGATTAAAAAAATTTTAATCCCTTTTCGAACCGCAACTGACCGCTGACCTAGGTAGTGAGTTACCTGCCGTAACTTTCGGTCATTAACCTAGCTTTTAATACGTTTTTAATCTGTAGTGAGCTACAATGAATGGCTTTTTAGCCAGATATATGAATGAGTAAGACATTTTTTACATTGTAAATATTAACAAGTTTTATTTATTTGTTAATAAAAACAAATGTATAAAGATAATAATTGTTTTCGAATGTTGGGTTATACAATTTAGTATTTTTAAGATTGTTAACTATGTTTTATAATTGAATACGAATTTTTAGTATTACATATGTTCAGTTAATTATTCCGTTTGTAGTACGTATTGTATGACTTATTGTTTTTCAATAAGTATAGTACCTACCTATTTAAAATGGCACTACGGCCAAAAAAACACTCACTGATTCGTCCATAGCTTTGTTATTAAAGTTTTAGGATCCATTGGACTTTGATCTTGAAACGAATTGCAAAATTCTAGACGACTGTGTAAAAAATCAGCTGTTTCGCTTAGGCCTTCCGAATACGTGGTTAAAATGAATGACATTATGACTGAATCACGTAGTATATCGAACACAATTCTTAGAAAAACTATTTATCCAGAAGTGCATGCCAATCAGAATGTTCGCAAAATCCATAAAAGATTCAATTACCCGGAAGCGTACCAGAGGAAGGCTTATGATTATTTTTAAAACAATTTATTCCCTAAAATGCTTCCAATAAAGTAGAAAGCGTTGTTAACCTGAAACCTTGAATCTAAAAGCGCAGACGAGTTTATTTCCAGACCAGGAATAAGCCAGGATTTTCCAATTGCTTTTCTAAAGTGACGGATCTATTAAAATTTTACGCTCTTTCTCACAATGTCGGTGGCTGATGCCATAAATTGGGGATGGAATGATCATCTAACTCGAGCGTAAATAGAACTCCGATGAAAAATTGCGATAGAGAATTATTTCTCGTTTTTCTCCGGCTTGATTAAATTATTTGACGCCATTCATTGTTTCAGGCAATCTCTCGGTAATGGGACGCTGTATTTCCCACCATTTCGGGCTGAGGACTACAGGAAAGATGTCCACTCCACGATTTATCGTTGCAGAGCTTCAAATTTAGCGGGAATTATACTCAGCCGGGAAGTTAACGTCCGAGCCGGTAAGTATCGCTTTGATGTTATCAATTTGATTTCCGTTCTAACTAATTGGGCCGTTTGAAAACGTTTTATTATCGATATATTTCCAATCTAGCTCAATCGGCATGGTATTCAAACAGTACTTTAATTTTACGGCAACTTACATTCAATATTCACATATTAAATTAAATTCATTTCCCAGTATCAGTAATAGAAAGTAATAGAAATCAGTAATAGAAAGACCACGTGATTGTTGCCCAAACACTTGTGGTCTGGCATGATTTGTTTCCTTAGTTCCCGCAGGTGCAAGAAGCCGATGCTCTTCACGAAACCCACAATCGAACTCTAGTATTTAAACAGGGATGGCCAGAAGTACGGAATAAAATTCATATCTTTTGAAGGAGTTAATTTTTTTAAAACGCCGAAACACGTTAACTGATTTTGATTTTTTCCCATCTTTCGGTTATACAGGGTGTCTCATAATTAGCTGCCAACCCTGAACAGGCTGATTCTATGATCAAAACTAAGTAAAAAAGTTCATATGAACATGGGTCCGGAAATGCTTCCTAAGGGCACAGGGACCCATTGAAGAGGGAGGAATGGAAATCATTTTTTTGCAATATCTCTCAATCGCGTTGTGATAAATGAATGAAATTTGGTATACACAGCTAAATTTTGATGAGCAATTTGATGGACTAATCCATTTATTTCCACAAGGTCCATTGGGGTGGGTACGGGGGGGCCCTTGGTACTTTGCGTGTGTAACTTTTTCATCTTTGACTTTTTAACAAATTGGACAGCAAATTCCGTTTTCCCGAACTGTTTTACGTTAAAAAGGTACTCTTGTTTCAAATCGTTATCTTTAACGGTTTCTGAGAAAATCGCTCTTGAATTAATCCCACTTTGGTCAATTTCATAGTAATTTAAACAAAATAATCAAGGTATTCTTATGTCAAAGTATTGTCAACCCGATTGCCAATTTAATAGTTCTAAGCGAAAAAAATGGAAGAGTTTACGGGACAAGAGTTAGTTGATATGATATTTATTTATGGCTTTTGCGATGGTAATGCTGCAGCGGCAGAACGCGAGTACGGGAGAAGGTTTCCAAACCGAAGGCTGCCATCAAGGAGGACATTCCCTACGGTATTCCGCAACTTAGCTGCAACCGCCACTTTTCGAAAGGCACCGGGTCAAGGACGTCCCAGGATTAATAGGGAAGCGGAGGTCCTTGACGCTATTGAACAAGATCCTACGACTAGCATACGGAACATTTCAAGGCAAATAAATGTTCCTCGGCCAACGGTACTACATATCTTAAAGATTTCCTTAACAGAATTGATTAGATGTGCTACTAACATTTCAGGTTGGAAGAATATTAAAGCGACAAGGTCTACATGCCTATCACTATCGACGTGTACATGGCTTGATACCAGAAGATTTTGCGCCACGTATGCAATTTTGTCGCTGGATTTTGTCGCTGGACAACGAGCAAGCTTCCAAAATTTTGTGGTGTGACGAAGCTACTTTTACCCGAAATGGAAAATTAAATTTTCATAATTCTCATTATTGGGAAGAAGAGAACCCACATGTTGTTCGGAGAACAAACTTCCAGCAACGGTTTTCCATAAATTTATGGGCGGGAATAATTCACGACACTCTGATTGGACCTATTGAAATTCCACAACGTCTCAATTCAAATCTTTATTTAAACTTACTTCAAGAAAATCTTCCCCAAATTCTCGATGATCTGCCTCTAAATTTACGACGTAACATGTTTTTTCAACACGATGGAGCCCCGGCACATAGTGGTCGCAATGTTCTAAATTTCCTAAACGAAAATTTCGCTGGACGGTGGATAGGGAGGCACGGACCGGTAGCTTGGCCGCCGCGTTCTCCCGACCTAACCCCGCTGGACTTCTTTTTCTGGGGATATCTAAATCAAAAAGTTTACGCCACCGAAGTCGATACCCGTGAGGAATTGCTGCAGCGTATCAATGATGCAGCCAATGAAATTCGTCAAAACCGTTTTAGCATCTTAATAGCTTCGAGAAGTGTTACACGTAGGGCAAGACTTTGTATCAGAGAAGGTGGAGGGTTTTTTGAACAGTTTTTAAAATAGCTTGTTGTCTGTTATCAAAATTAAGTTTCCATCTTATGATCCCTTCGAAAAGTGACGGTTGCAGCTAAATTGCGGAATACAGTGAGGAATGTCCTCCTTGATGTCAGCCTTCTGTTTGGAAACCTTCTGCCGTACTCGCGTTCTGCCGCGCAGCATTACCATCGCAAAAGCCATAAACAAATCATCATATCATAATTGTTCTACATCAATAATGTGTATTACTGATTACGTATTAAATTATTATTATTATTTTTTGTTTAAATTACTATGAAATTGACCAAAGTGGGATTAATTCAAGAGCGATTTTCTCAGAAACCGTTAAAGATAACGATTTGAAACAAGAGTACCTTTTTAACGTAAAACAGTTCGGGAAAACGGAATTTGCTGTCCAATTTGTTAAAAAGTCAAAGATGAAAAAGTTACACACGCAAAGTACCAAGGGCCCCCCCGTACCCACCCCAATGGACCTTGTGGAAATAAATGGATTAGTCCATCAAATTGCTCATCAAAATTTAGCTGTGTATACCAAATTTCATTCATTTATCACAACGCGATTGAGAGATATTGCAAAAAAATGATTTCCATTCCTCCCTCTTCAATGGGTCCCTGTGCCCTTAGGAAGCATTTCCGGACCCATGTTCATATGAACTTTTTTACTTAGTTTTGATCATAGAATCGGCCTGTTCAGGGTTGGCAGCTAATTATGAGACACCCTGTATAACCGAAAGATGGGAAAAAATCAAAATCAGTTAACGTGTTTCGGCATTTTAAAAAAAATTAACTCATTTAAAAGATATGAATTTTATTCCGTACTTCTGGCCAACCTTGTATGTCTTTGCACTTAACACCAGAAATGCTGCTTTAATAATTTTAATACAGGTGATTTCGATCAATGTCATGGTTGATAATAACCAAAAATATCTAAATCTCAGTGAATTGTTTTTGAACTTAATACATATATATACAAATTTATATTACACTATTGTTTTTTCGTTGAAATGCTTTTAACATTAATAAAAGGAGAACACTAACAAACCTCCCTTGTTAATGAACAAATTGCAATTTTTTTACTGTGTCCATGATCCGTCTTCGTTTCAATTCAAAATCAAAATTCTCGATGAGTTTTTTCTTCTTCTAACTCCTTCCTACCGAAAGTTTCGCTAGATTTTGTTCACATCGATCTTTTCTTAGCAGAAGCTTGTTAGAAAAAGTTACTCTCACAGTGTTAATGGTTCTTCATTAAAGTTAGGTTCTCATTTTAAGATAAAAATTGGCTTTCCTGATTTCTGAAAATATTATTACATCTGCGCTCTTTTTCTATTGCCTTGAAGTTAATGTATACTTTATACCTTTTAAATTATGTCACGGGACTTTAATTTTTGCAAAGCAGTACAAGGTGTTAATGAACTTATATCAAATATTGCCACATGTCCGTTGTGTCAAAATGAGGTAAATAAACGGATTTGTGTTGAGTAAAATGTAATTTTAAAATCGGACTTACCTCAACATTGCAAGGATGTTAGATGTACCCACCATTTGCTTGCACACAAGCTTCAGCGCGACGTATCCAATTCGATCACAGTCCGGCTTCATAAGAAACTTACAAACTCGTAAACAGTGTTACAGAATTATTTGTAAGTACTCACCGCGATAAAATACATGTATTTCAGCAGTTCCAAACAGTTTTAAACACATTTTTAATTAGCTTTTTTCTCTATGACCTTAAACTTCCGATACAAGTTTGTGACATCAATTAACTTAGTTTTTGCTCCATTTTCGCCCCTTTAAATTTTTGACATTACACCCTGTATATTATTATCATTTTTTTCTATAATAAGCCTTGTTCGTTCCATAAACTTATTTTTCGTCCCTAAGGGTGACGTTGTGGCTGTAATTTTTGCGGCCAGCCGCCGTCCCAATTAGAATGATTAAAATTTAACTTTTTAACTTGAATTCGGTTAGACACTTGCCGGGACCGATTCAAAAACGTATACGGAAACAGGGCGTACGCGTTGCAGCTTGCATTAAATAAAACCTGGAATTGAAAAGAGTTAAACAAAGAAAAGAAACATAAAAACGTTGGATAGGCATCCACCACGAGTAACTAAGTTTGACTTAAAGGTGTGTTTTATTATTTTTGTTCGCGTTTTTTTTACCGAGGATGCGTTCCGAAGAACTTCGGTGTAAAAGGATACTTTAATTTCAAATGCAGACATGGAAGACTCGGGAAAGTAACAATAGAAAATACGGGGGCAATAAAAAAACTATTTTAACTACTATTTACTAATACATTTTAAGTTGTATTAATATGTATATACGTACACATATGAATTTACAGCGAGTTTAATGTAAGTTTACATTCCAAATGATGACGAAAGTGCAAAATTTGCTAATGTAATTTTACAAGAATACATATGGCGTTACAATAATTGCATTATTTTAGTTACATTAAATTTGTACATAGGCAATTATGAAATATATACTAATGTACGCCATTAAATTTAGGAAAGTGTAGAGAGGGTTTAATATATACACAATTAAACTTGAACCGAATTAATTTTAATACGAAATAATTTATTACCTTTGTTTCGACTATATGCAAATAATGTACATTGTTATAGTTGATGGCAGTATGGGCAGTAAATTACATTAATGTGGTTTTACAAGACTACAGATGGTTTAAAAATGATCAATATTTTGGTCCATAATTTTACATAAAATGTTAATAATCAAATCAGTCAAATCAAATCAATAAAGCAAAGAAAGTAAGTAGAGGTTGGTTTAATATGCTTGTAGTAACTGGATTAATTTTAAAGCAGAAAGAATTTATTATTCATTGCTTCGCCGCCATGCAAATTTTGTGTATTATCTAGCCTTATAACAAGAAGCTTAACATTACATTAA